GGAACACGGGAACACCGGGACACCAGGACACGGGAACACCAGGACACGGGAACACCGGGACACGGGAACACCGGGATACGGGAACACCGGGACACCGGGACACGGGAACACCGGGACACGGGAACACCGGGATACCGGGACACGGGAACACCGGGACACGGGAACACCGGGACACCGGGACACGGGAACACCGGGACACGGGAACACCGGGATACCGGGACACGGGAACACCAGGATATGGGAACGCCAGGATATTGAGACACCGGGATACGGGAACACCGGGATATTGAGACACCGGGATATTGGGACACCGGGATACAGGAACACGGGAACACCAGGATATGGGAACACCGGGATATTGAGACACCGGGATATTGGGACACCGGGACACTGGGACACCGCCACACTGGGGCACCGGTACATTGTGGGACACCGGCAGGGCAGGAGGCAGTGGCAGAGGGGTACGGGGGGATGGAGGAACGGGATCAGGTCTTGGGCTAGAGAGGGGGATCCCCCTGCTCCCGTGTGCTCAGGGCTCGGAGGCTGATCCGTGCTGGGAACGCGGCTGCATCACGGACCGTGTTCAGCGCACCACATTCAGCCGTCCCGAGTGGAAACAGCCACACCGACGTGTGTCTCATGGCAAACCCCGTGAATGAAGGGCAGTGAAACCGTCCTGCAGGGATGTGTCAGGGTTCAGCCTTTCTCCAGGATGGTCCCTTCCCCACCAGGGATTTTTCTGGCAGAGCTCTGTCTCACCCAAATGCTGCTGGTTGAGTCAGGAAGTCAATTCCTGCTCCCAGCTGAGGAAAAAGCAGCTCTCGGGTGAGGGTTTGTGTCAGGAGGTTGGTCACTACAAACTCCATGTTCCTTGTGTGGGTCTGGGAACCAGACTGGGACCAGCCCTGTGGGCACTGTGGCTTCTCAGTACTTAAAGGCTTAAAGAAAAAGAGTGACATTTTAAATGGGCAGAGGGGGATAGGACTGGGTGGTGGTATTAAACTTCAGAGAGGAGAGATTTAGGTTAAACATTAGGAGGAGATTCTTCCCTGTGAGGTGGGGAGGGCCTGACAGGGTGCCCAGATCAGCTGTGGCTGCCCCTGCATCCCTGGCAGTGCCCAAGGCCAGGCTGGACAGGGCTTGGCACAGCCTGGGACAGTGGAAGGTGTCCCTGCCATGGCAGGGGTGGCACTGGATGGGATTTAAGGTCCCTTCCAACCTAAGCCATTCCATGGGTTTGTGATCCTGCTCTGTACCTGCTGGGCACCCTGGGCCTGAGGAGGGTCAGAACCTGGTACCAGAGGGTTCTGAGCTCTGCAGGCTCTGCCAGGATCTTCAGGATACCAATTTCCCAACAGAGCTGGCTGTCCCTGCCTGTAGAATGTGCAAAGCTGTGCTGATCTGCACGGGAAGGCCCAAGGTCACCAGCAGGAGAGCTGGGAAGGTTTCTGTGCACCCTTATCATTAATATCAATTTCAGTGGTGTGCACAGCCCTGGCTCCCCTTTCAGAGCCTCCCTGCTGCTGCTGCCGCCCTGACCCCCACCCCAGCACAGTTTCAAGCCAAACATTTTCTTCCTGTTTTTCTGAGGGTGCGGCTCTTGTTTCATCTCGTTGGGTGAAGCCGATGCAGTGAGCGAGTCTCTATGGCAACAGATGTTTATCGAGCCCCTGAGATGAGGCACAGGGTTGGGGAAAGGCACCACAGCATCTGGAGGTGCTGGAATGCCACGCTGGAAGGGCTGGAATGGGGGCTGCTGGAATGGAGGTGTCTTGCTCCCTGTCCCCTAAGGTTGAGGAACCCTGGGCTGCTTCCTGCAGAGGGAGGTTTGGATTTCTACGGGGGCTTTTTCCTGAGCCCTGCTGTGGAGAGGTCCTGGGAACCTGGCCCAGCTGGCCCAGGCTCTGCCAGCCCCTGGCTCAGGAATCTCAGGGCTGTTTGCTGTGAGCAAACTGGCACTGGCCCTGGCACTGCCACGTTCCCTGTGTCTCCAAAACACATCAACGCCCCTTCCAGAGCTCGCAGAGCTGCAGCTGGGGCAGGTCTCAGCAGTTCTGCAGTGGAGCAGGGCAGCCAGGCCCATCCTGGCTGCAGGTTTGCTGCTCAGGGGTGCACAGGTGGCATTTCCCAGTTTTGTCCAGAGCCACAAAGCACAAAGACAAGCAGGATGGTGCTGAGGGCACCTAGGGCTCTTGGGGCCAGAGTGCTGATTGATTTGGGGATGCTTTTGGGCTGGGGGTGCCATGTCCAGCCCTACACTGTGGCCAGCAGGGACCAAGGGGGCCCCTCTGTCCCCTCGGCTGAGCGTGCCCACCCTGGGTGGGACCTGGCACCTTTCACAGGAGGCTCCCAGCTCGCTCAGAACAAGGTTTTAATTGGGTTAGGTACTCGGTACAGATCTACTGTCTCTGCTCCAAACCCACCATAGAGCTGTTCTGCCTCCTGCATTTGGGGTGATGCAGACACGGGGTGACCGTGTCAGGCTGGACATCAGTGCCACCTTCCACAGCAGTGGAGCTGGTGTCACCCCACAGCCTGGGAGAGGCCTCTCCCCCAGGGACTCAGTCATGTTGGAGGAGCGTGGGTCAGTAATTTAGAGAGGTTTTGGGAATTTTGCCCAATTCCCTGAGCCTGGGACTGGTTGTCTTTGTGACCCACATCCTTCCCCATCTTGCCATGTGTTCTGGTAGAGCTGCCTGGAGCTTGGGGTCTGCCAGGACAGGAGAGCACGGCGCTGCTGGTGCTCGTTTCAGGTGTCTGCAGCCTGTAGGTATCGGCTGGAGGTGCATCATGCTGGAAGTGCCAGGGAATTGGATCAGGAGCTGCTTGTTCTGGTGGTTCTCTGGACAAATTTGCACTGTGAAGGCAAGTGACAAACTCTGTTCTGGCATGTGCAGAGCCTCGATCAGCGAAGGGTTCACCCTTGTGCTTGCTCATGTCATGGTCCAGACCTGGCTGCACACAGAGGACAGAGGGGACAGGTCAGGGGGCAGTGCCAGGGTCCGAGAGGGTTCCCCACCCCTTCTTCTCGGCTCAGCCCATGCCCTGGGTGGTGTCGATGCCGAGCCGGGGCAGGAAGAACACGGAGTCCTGGCTGAGGTGTGGAGCCCCTGCTGCGTCCCGCGGGGGCCTCCTCAGACAGAGGAAACGGGCAGGATTCCTTCTGGGGGTCCTTGGGGCGGCTTACCTGGTGGGGGTTAGAAAACTCCTCCCCAGCATCCCAGGACGAGAGCGAGTCCCAGCATCAGCGGCAGCTTCGAGGCGGGGCGCGGAGAAGGACCCGAACCTGCGGTGCCGAGAGCGGGGTGAGCGCCAGCCCTGCCCGGGGACGGCACCGTCACCTCCCGCCCCCGTTCTGCTCGTTCTGCCCCCCCGGGCCGCGGTGACCTCTGCCCGGTTCCGAGCGGGGGGGGCACGGCCCGGGCCCGGAGCCGGTGAC